TTTTTTTTTTAAGGGAATGGGAAGTGTTCCTTGAGCACTCTGAATCTTGTCATAACATGGGTTATTTGTACTATAGTTATTTGGGTCAAATTTTCTTTCCTGCTTGTCTGTGAGTTCCATGAGGACAGAGCTGGAGTATTTTCATCTTTTTATCTAATCCGAGGCCCAACTCAAATGTGTCATGACCAGTAACTTATATTTTCTTTTTGGCCTTATGAAAAGGGTGACATGGTTTAGGAAGGTATTATGATTCTCTTTTACATGTGAGCAAATTGAGGCTCAGAAAGGTTGGTAAACCTGTGCAAGATGCCCCAATAAGGAAACAGTGACAGTAGAATTCTGACAGACTGAACACTTGGCAGTGTTGGGAAGGATGGAGCTTCAAGTCTACTTTAGATCTGTGGCTCACACTTTGAAAAAACACAACCAAATAAGGCATTTTTTTTTTTTTTTTTTTTTTTATAGATGGGGTCTTGCTATTTGCTTAGGCTGGAGTGCAGTGGTGATTCACAGGCATGATCATAGTGCACTAGTCTCAAACTCCTGGGCTCAAGTGGTCCTCCTGCCTCAGCCTCCTGAGTAGCTGGGACTATAGGCGAGTACCACCATGCCTGGCTAGTGAAAGCCACTATTGACTGAGCATTTCCTGTTTCTCAGACACTATGCAAGATGCCTACTATGTATTATCTTATTAAATCTTCCCAACAATCTTGGGAGAAAAGTAACAATTGTTAGCCCCATTTCACAGATAAGAAAACAAGAATCAGAGTGGTCAAGTGACTTTCCCAAGGTCACCCAGCTGGTCATCAGAGGCAGGGCTCAAACCTAGCCCTATCTGGATCTGGGCTTATAACCTCTAAGTCCTATGCTGTGCCACTAATCAGTGGGTGATTACTGGTCAGGTTATTTTTCCTGCTGTGGTCTCCAGCTACCTCAGAGGGTGATAAAATTTGAGTGAGGCTAAAGTCTGTAAAACCTTAGGTGGGTTAAAATATGTAAACCCTATAGCAAAGTGGCCATGGTTATTCTGAGATTTTCCTTCTTTCCTCTTGAGCTAAGCACTGGCTCTTAAGAGTTAAGTGGTTTTATCTTTATTGGAAGGAAATGTGTTAAATACAGACCCATAAAGTACCTACAGTGTTGAGACAGTAGTGAGTAGCACAGTAGGGAGACTGCCCAGGACTTGAGGTCCTTGGTCCCTCTATGAAAGTATCAAGTGTGTGTAAAAGGTTTAGCACCGAGGTGACAGAAAGAAGCCATCATCCTCTTATTTTCTCTTGGTTTTACTTAATATATAGAAGGGCAGACTAGTGGGCCTCTGAGTGCAAGATGAGGACTTCATTAGATTAATGACATATTGCCTCCTGGATTTCTAACCCATAGCTCCAAGAACCTCAGTGTCATAGAACATAGGTAAGGGACTTGATTTACTGAAAGACCCTACCTTACAACATCTTGTGGACATTAGAGCTCTGTGCTCCTGTCACTGAGTATCACTGTGAGCTTAAAATATGTCAACTGCTCCATTTCTCTTTCCTTTTGTGTATTCAGAGCTCTGATTTTAAAACACTCAAATCTGGAAGATTCCAGTAGCTGCACTCTGTCTAAAGCAAATGAGGAATGACTGTAGAATTTGCATGTCCTCTACAGCTTTTGTTCACATGTATGCAGGCAGGGATAATGTTATTGATTGTTCAACCTGTTTGCCTTGCCCAGTGGTTGTCAGTAATGCCCAATATGAATCAAGTTGGAACAAGTGTGATCAGATTATCAGGTCTTGTCTCTCTACACTGCACCACCAATGCTTCAGCACTGCCTCCCTTTGCCTTAAGGACTGGGAGTGCGATGCTGTGAATGGGATGGAAGGGCTTATTCACATGTGCTTTCATTTCTTCTTCAGAAGGGAATCCCTCCATCCTCATTTCCACCCTTTGTAAAGTCATAAGAATGCTCTCCATTTCCCTCTTCCCTTCTACTTCTTCCCTCCCCATATCCCCTAAAATCATGCAGACAATAAAGGCTGGTCTTTTGGGTGCCCTGGAGAACGAGGGCTACTTCCTAGTCTTCTCTTGGTGTCTCCTTGTGAAAAAAGCATTTCTTCCTCAGGTGGACAAGCTGATATTTCCTTTGGAATGAAATCCTCATTCTCTTCCTAGGTCTTCTTCATTTCCCATTCCTGAAGTACAGAAAGACAAGACAAATCAATTTGTTGAATGGTCTAGTGTGACATGGATAAAAACATTTCATGGCACCCAGTTAGATGATCTCCACTGGCCAGGTTGCATTGGGTTCTAGCCCCCTCTCTCTCTTTCTGTGGCCCTGAGTAAGTCACTTCTCCATGCTGGTCTCTCTTGTCCCTTCATCCATTCTCAACATAGTTGCCTGAATGGTCTTTAAAAAATGTAATTTATATCCAAAACCCTTTGCTCAAAACCTTCCATCATGTCACAGCAAGATCCATTATGTTACAACAAGATCCATGGTTCCTCAGTGGCCTGAAAGGCTTTAGAGAAAAGGCTGGTAAATGATAGTCTGTGGGCCAAGTCTGGCCTATTGCCCGTTCTCATATAATCCATCATCTAAGAATGATTTTCTTATTTCTAAATGTTTGGAAAAAAAAAAATCAAAAGAAGATGACTATCTCATGACACATGAAAATGATAAGAAATTCAAATTTCAGTGCCTATAAATAAGTTTTATTGGGCTAGGCGCAGTGGCTCATGCCTGTAATCCCAGCACTTTGGGAGGCTGAGGTGGGCAGATCACGAGGTCAGGAGTTCGAGACCAACCTGACCAACATGGTGAAACCCCGTCTCTACTAAAAATACAAAAAAATTATTCAAGCATGGTGGTGTGCACCTGTAATCCCAGCTACACAAGAGGCTAAGGCAGGAGAATTGCTTGAACCCAGGAGGCGGAGGTTGCAGTGAGCTGAGATCGTGCCACTGCACTCCAGCCTGGGCGACAGAGCGAGACTCCATCTCAAAAAAATAAATAAATAAATAAAATTAAAAAAAAATAAAAAGTTTTACTGGGACACAGCCGTTTTCATCATCATTTACACATTGTCCATGGCTATTTTCATGTGACAATGGCAGAGCTGAGAGGTTGTGGAACAGATCATGTGGTTCAGAAAGCCTAAACTATTTACTCTCTGGCCCTTCACAGAAAAAGTTTGCTGACTGCTGGTCTAGATGATCTGGCCCCTCACTGGTTACTTCTCTGATCTCATCTCCTAATGCTCACCCTTTGTTCCCTTCACTGGAACCACCTGGATCTTCTTGATGTTCCTCAAACATGCCAAGCTTTTTCCCACTTCAGGGACTTGACACTTGCTCTTCTCTCTGCCTGGATCGTCATTCCCTCAGCCCCCTGCATGGGTCTCTCCCTCACACTCCATTCAGGTCTCTGCTTATGTGTCACTTTCTCGAAAGGGTCTTTGCTGTCACTGTGCTTAAGCCCCTTTGGGAGGTTCATCTTCTCTGGCATCACATTATTTATGTGTGGTATTTAAAGTATTTGTCTTCCCAACTCTATGAGACCAGGGACTTTTTTGGGTTCCCTGTTATGTAACCAGAAATTATAACAAGACTCACATATGTTAGGTCTTCAACAAATATTTGTTTAATGACTAACTGTAGGAAAGAGTAAAGACTCTTCCCTCTCAGGCTCTGAAAATCAATTCCAACCTGAGGGACGTAGAGCCGTGCTTTTTTTTTTGAGACAGGGTCTCACTTAGTGTCATCTAGAAATCCAGAAAGCTGTGAAACCGAAATATTTCTCCACTGTTTTGGTATAGACTCATTTGGTGGCAAAACTTGACCTGACCTGATATGAGGCTGTTTATAATCTTCATTCACTCCGAGTGCTATAAATATTCCTGTGTCTTGCTGTAGAATTATTAACATGTTTACTTACATGGTACCACCTGAGGACTTATTGGGGTTTTCATCATATATTAGTGTAGGTACCATATTACCTTAATAAAATCCAAAAAGTTCTGAAACATAGCTGACCCCCAAGAGTCACACAGAAGGGACTGTGGACCAGCATCCTGGAGGGAGCCATGGACTTAGAATTGGAAGATGTGGGTTTACTTACTTGCTTTTGCAGTGATATCTTGCATAGCCCTGGGCAAGTCCCATAGTCCTTGATTTTCAGTTACCTCATCAATGAAATGGGACCTGTCCTGTCTCAAAACACATTGTAGGCTCAGAAACCAGATGATTAAGCTTGTTAGAAATATGTGTTAACAAAGAGTGAATAGGTTCTGAATAATATCTGAAGATTACTGCTTCTGAGGAAGGTTCATGAATTTCATTGCATAAATGCATTGGCAATTCTCTACCTTTCTCACTAGCTGATTTTTTGGTTTTGGGTGAACTTCCATAAAAAGGGGGTTACCAGGTCTGTGATTTGATAAGCTGAACTATGGCTCTACCTTGGCTTTCTGTAGCACCCTTCCTTGGTTGGAGGCTACGATGGATGGGCTCCTCTTCCTCAGCTCAGAAACACAGTTGACAGGGAGAGATTGCTCTGGAACGCTGCTCTTGGGTTTATTTGCAGTTTCCTGTTGATGGCAATAAATAATTACATAGGTGAGATCTGGTGATGGCTACCGACACCCAGCCTGCCCTCAAAAGCATGAGGACACTTTATTATTTTTATTTTTGAGAGAGAGTCTCTCTTTGTCACCCAGGCTGGAGCACAGTGGCGCGAGCTTGGCTCACTGCAACCTCTGCCTCCTGGGTTCAAGCGATTCTCATACCTCAGCCTCCCAAGTAGCTGGGATTACAGGTGTGCACCACCGGGCCTGGCTAATGTTTGTATTTTCAGTAGAGATGGGGTTTTGCCAAATTGCCCAGGCTGGTCTCAAACTCCTGGGCTCAAGCAGTTCACCCACCTTGGCCTCCCAAAGTCCTGGGATTACAGGTGTAAGCTACTGTGCCCAGCAGCATAGGAACTTTAAAATAAAAGGCACTGGCCAGGCGCGGTGGCTCATGCCGGTAATCCCAGCACTTTGGGAGGCCCAGACAGGCGGATCACGAGGTCAGGAGATCAAGACCATCCTGGCTAACACAATGAAACCCAGTCTCTACTAAAAATACAAAGAATTAGCGGGGCGTGGTGGTGGGCGCCTGTAGTCCCA